AGCTTCTGCAGGTAGAAACGTGGTGTTCAATGATGAGAGAGAATCATGGATCGGCTGCCTCCTGCACGCCCCACCCTGGGGATCGAGCCCACAACCCAAGCATGTGCCCTTGACCAAATCAAACCCGGGATCCTGCAGTCCGCAGGCCAACAGTCTAAGCAGCTGGGGAAGTTTCTTGTTCTTATAAACAAACTTCTTCACACTTCTGTGCTGATAAAGTGACACCTCTGCCACGACCCTCAGTGTGCCCACACAAACACACAAACTTACATGCAGGTGAAACACACTGACCTAGAACCTAATCCTTTATTACATGTCTTATTACCTAATGCTCATGGAATTGAATATATTCTGCTATTTTGCCAAGCACTAAAATGATGAATTACCTAAAAAGTAAGGAATGCCACAATATTTCTCACTCCTTTCGATCATTTCAGAGATGACATGGTCTAAAAATAGTCTAAAACATTTGAAAGCATTCATGATGCCATTCAAAGATTTAAGTGAATAAGTGATTCATGCACATGATGTCGTTTTCTTCAAAAACAATATGTAAATTCAAATCGCGAACCCAAGAGAAACATCTGGGAGCTGGCTTCAAAGCTGGGGTGGAACTGTGAAGTCCACAATACCTGCTACCCTCGCTGTGGACGGTTTGTAGTAGCTGTGAATCTAAAATCCACAGGCTGGATGTTACAGAGGCCGAGCAGGCAGAAATGTGGTGTTCAACCAACACAGAATTACTCTGTGGGATTTTAAAATGTACAGCCTCAGGGTCTGAGTGTTTGGGGGTGAGATTTCGTTTTGTTTTGATCCTTCCCTGAAAAAGCCACTTCCAACCCGAGTACGCCCCTCCAGGCTCCGAGGCCAAGGGCCCCAGCGCTCTCTCCTCCGGTGCTGGAGACGGAGCGCAGCGTCTGACCAGGCTCCATCCACAGCCTAGGGCCCTGCTGACAGCGCTGCCACCGTGGACTTAGGAGCCCTCACCCCCGGGACCGGCTCCCAGAGGGCCCGTCCACACAGGCAGCAGATGCCCATCCCAAGGCGACCGGGACTCCGGAGGCTCCCGCGGACAGCGCCACGTCTGCCGCCTCTCCATCGTCAGGCGGGCCAGGCCGTCTCCTCAGTGCTCACCTGGAAGGTGCCTTTGGGAACTTCCCCAGATTCCACTTTATTCTCCATGGGCGCCCAGTGTTCCTGCTACTTGATACTCAACACATTCTCCTCGAAATCAACAGAAATACTGAAGTAGGTTGTGTTCTTGGATTTCCCTGAAACCAGTCTCACACACACAAAAAAACAACCCATGTGGAGACGAGCTTTCCTGCCCTTTAAAAACTGTATTGTCTCCTAAGAGCTGCCAGAATGGGTAAACTGAGGCAAGACCGTGTGGGTGCGAGCCAGACGTTAAGACAGTGGTGCCAGGATTAAATGAGCTTTTATTGTCACATTTAACTGCTGGTCAGTGTACACCGTAGCTCTCAGTATGGCATAAAATAAAATGTATTTCTGAAGGTCAAACATGAACAGAGAGATGGCAATGGCACTTACAGAATTAACTTAGGTTCACCTGGGGCTGGGCCACGGTGGGGAGCTGATAAACCGAGCACGCCTGCGAGGTTCCCATCACACGGGAGGTTTGAGGCCAGCGCTTGGAGGGCAGGACCAGGCCCACAAAGCGGACATGAGCAGAGGGCGGCTCCGCGGCTCCCAGTCCGCACTGTCTCACTGGGCACTGGGGCCGGAGCCGGAGCCTGGGAGTCAGCTCCCTCCAGACAATGGAACTACTTTCCAACGCAGGGACGTTAAGCCTCGGGACACGACGCCCTCCTTCCTCCTCCAGGCTTTAGTCCAAAGCAAAGGCAGTTACATTCGGAAGCAGCAACGCCGCGGCTGACCTCCTCACGGACGGCGGGTCTGGTCACTCCCAGGCCAGGAGCCTGACAGGCTCAGGATGTCTTCCGTGGTTTCACACGTTCTGGGCCAAACTAGGAAACAAGCAGTAATTAAATAAAACACAGGAGCATCCTGACAGGAAGTCCAGCAGTCACAATTATCCTCCAAATGGCAGCTTAAAAAAAAGGTATGGTTATTCAGACTTAAAATAAATCTTTATTCACCACGATTCTCAAACAGCTTATTAAACGTCTTCCCTCCACAAATAAAGCTGACACTGAGATTTGTCAGGCGGGCTAGAGGAGGCATGGCCGTCTGTGCGACGGCTGACCCCGCGTCCGGATCCTGTCCATCACAAAGCTCAGCTCGGGGACGGCGCTCCCTTCTGTGGCCACTGCTCGTGTCCTTCATCTAAGACTCCAGAACAGAGACTATAACGGTGGCCAGTGCCACACAGCAGTGACTGTCATTCCACCAAAGAAAATAGGAGTTTCTTTTGTGACATACTTGTTTGGATGGTTACTTACTGGTAATTAGTACTTCTACGTGTTTTTAAAGGCAACCATTTTAAGTGACCATACGTACCGGGCTAGTGGAAAACAGTTAAACTAAGCCCTCTCTCTGACCTTACAGTCATGCAGACAAGAGAAGGTACACCCGGCCTGTTCCAATCGGGCTTCTGGGAATTATCACAATTTCTCTTCTGGCAAAGCTGAACTTGGCTCATCACAGAAAGAAGCTTCTATCAAGGCTGCCGCTAACTCATTTCCCTCTGAAAAGTGAACTTCAAGGCATGATAGTGCAAGAGGTAAGTTTTGATTTACAGAACATTTATAGACTAATTGTGCTTAGTCTCTGATTTCCAATTTATTTTAAAGAACAGAAACTGTTGACAAGTTTCTCTGCCTGAATTAACCAGTATATCCATGAATCGCACCAGAAGTAGGGCAACTTGATTATCTTAATGATTCTGTCATGACACCTGCCCCCCGCACCCGGGTGAGGCCCTGCCAGTTCTGTGCCCAGGATTCTCTCGGGAGCCCAGTTCTCCCACCCGGTTAGTCCTCACAAAACTCTCTCCATCGTGATTAAGAAAGCAGTGCTGATTGGCGCTCCTCCTGGGGAGTTAAATCTGGGAGGTCTGAGCGTTCCTGGAGCCCCCGTCGGGGTGTGTCGTGGGCCGGGAATCCCTTGCGTGTGAGAATTCGCTGCTGGAGGGCTCTGTCGGGTCAATCAGGTTTTCATAATCACTGTCGTCCGACCCCTCCGCGCTGTCCCCCGTGGCTCTCTGGGAAGGCAGGCCCACTCCACCTCCGGGGTACTTCAGTCCAGCACTGTTGGGGGCAAAGCTGGAGGAACCCACAGCTTGAGGTCGAGGCATAAAGACACTTGTTTCCGCGCGAGAATGGCTCAAAGTACTTTCTTGATTGTTTGGGTGAAAATCGGAATAAGGGGGTGGGGGGTCAGAGGCCTCGGCATCTGCCAGTGTACTTCCGCCGTCAGCTGCGAACCCGGGGTACGGCGTCCGAGGGCTGGGCGCCGGCTCCAGGCTCTCGGGCGGCCCCTGTCTGCTGCCCACCGCCTGCTGCAGCCCTGCGGGAAGAGAAGACATGGTCACCGTCTGTACCTCCCCAGCCTCACATCCCCGTGCATGACACGGTCAACCTGCAAGTTCTGGAAACAGCAACAAAGCAGGAAGCTGGTGACCACTGTTAGTTGCTTTATGTTTGAATTGTGCTTTAGAACTTACGTCTTTCTACACGTGAATTCATTGAAACTTCAAAGACAGCTCACTGAGGTGCCGTCGTCATTAATATTATTGTTCCCATGACCTAGGCCCGTGGTCGGCAAACTGCGGCTCGTAAGCCACATACGGCTCTTGGGCCCCTTGAGTGTGGCTCTTCCACAAAATACCACGTGCAGGCGCACACGTACAGTGTGACTGAAACTTCGTGGCCCATGCGCAGACGTCGGTATTTTGTGGAAGAGGCACACTCAAGGGGCCAAAGAGCCGTATGTGGCTCGCGAGCCGCAGTTTGCCGACCACTAAGTCCTAGGCAGAGCACACTGAGTTCAACAGCACATCCCTTCTGAAAAAGCTCAAAGGACAGTGGACTCCACTCCCCTCAGCCTACCTCAGGGCTTAGAGTAGAAGGACTTACGTAATTTTTTGTACATCTGATGTTTAAAACCAGACACTTCCTTGATACCAATTAGTAAAATTAATAGGAAACTCACTTCTTTCTTGTTCCTTTTCGTTTTTCCTCTGAGTGATTTGTCTTCTTAATTTATTCACTTCGGCCTCACAAGATTCAACTACTCGCTCACTCTTCTCTACATCTGCACACACTGCCTGAGGGGAACGGCAACAGAACAGTTAGCGTGAACCTGGCCAACACAGCAGTCATTCCAGGCTGAGGGAGCCGGCGTTGTCCCCATAGTCCGGGGGGCCAGTACTTATTCACCGATTTGCTTTCTTAATTTTGTTGAGATGATTATGCTATTTAGCTTATAAATTCTTGAAAAATAAGAGTAAGCTGGGAAAGATCTATGTTTTCTCTGGATTATTCATTTCTATTGAACTGAAAAGAGAATTTTTGATACCAGTCTAGCATACAAAGGATGAACAAAAGACAGGAATGAGATGCTTTCAATTTTTATTTATAATCAATAATCACAAATCAGACCACATAAAAAAGATTCATTTAATAGAAACTATTCATAATTAGGGAGAGCTGAAAAAGGAAACAGGTTTCAGTTAAGACTTAATAAAAGATAACATTTGAGGTCCATCTGTGTAATTAAACATTCACACCGGAGCATGATGGGATGCTGGTGTGTTCAGAGAGGCCTTCTACAGCCGGCAATGAGATGTGTGCTAGCCACTCTGAAGTCCCTTGACAGAGCTGAGAGTCTGAAAACAGCCTGGCCCAGCTGGTATGGCTCAGTGGTTGAGCATCGACCTATGAACCAGGAGGTCATGGTTTGATTGCTGGTCAGGGCACATGCCTGGGAGGTAGAGGCAGCTGATCAATGATTCTCTCTCATCACTGATGTTTCTACTTCTCTCCATCTCCTTTCCTCTCTAAAATCAATAAAAACGTATTTTAAAAACAAATAAATAAAAACAGCCTGTTCATGAATTCAGGACAAAAAACTGGTTTTCACTGCACGTTCTCTCCACCACAGAAACACTAGGAGCGCGGGACAGTAGGCCGGTGGCCAGAGCCTGGCTGAGGCTCCCTGATGCTAGTGCCTGGCCCTAACTGGGACACCAACACTGGACGCCTTGGACACCTTCCTGTTTTGGGCCAGGCCGGCCTCGGCTGCTTCCTCTCTCTCTGGGGCTGCCTTCACTCTCCCTCCGTCCTGGGCCTTCTTCCCCAGAGTGAGGCGAGGTGTCTCCAGCTCCACCTCCTTCCTCCATGTCCTCAAAGCGCTTTTGTTCTAGAGTTTTAGGGAAAGTTACTCCTAAGAACGCGTCGGAGGAGATGGAAAGAACATGGGAAAGGGCTGTTGGCACCAGGCTCAGTAGCTGGCTGGTAGGAGCTGTTTCCGTAAGTGTTGGTTGCATGAATACTAGGAATGAACAGGCTCCACGGGATCCTCCCACTCGATGGAGGCGCTGGGGCCAAGGGTGTGGATGAGAGGGGAGGGGGCAGGGCTGTTCCGAGTTTGGTGCGGCCTCTACGCAGCGTCCAGCTGATGAGACAGCTGTGCTCTCAGCAAGCCTGCCTTACGCTCGGACACGCCTCCCTAGGAGACGCGCTGTTACAGGTGGGTCACAGTTCGGAACGCAGCAGCGTGCCGCCGTGCCCAGAGCCCCTGCAGGCCACGCGGAGGTGGCCTCCCAGCTGGCATGGCAGCCTCTCTCCTCTGATGCTACTGCAGGAAATGCACACTGACTTGTGGACCACGACTCACTTCTCCGGCGGAAGATTAAAAGTTAAAGTAAAATTAAGAGCATTCGGGCAAGACAAGTAAGACTAAAACGAGAAGTAACGGTTACCTGCACCTTCTCCTGCAGCGCGTTGTAGACCTGATAGATGGCCCTGATGTCCTTCATGACTCCGTCCTTGTCAAAGAAGTCAGTGCTAGAGGACAGGCAGGAAAGATGTCACGGAAAGGACAGCCGCCATGAACCTGAAAGCACTCTCCTGCCCTTCTACCTTCATCTGGTCTTAAACGTGAGCTCCCAGGTGACAGTGTCTCAGCCACAGTGTCACACTACTAGGCTTCCAGAAGAGAAATAAAAAGGAACCCACGTGACTAAGACCATTTAAAAAATAATATGACCACAGCTTAGGATCTCAGAAATACACATACTCTAGCCACACTTTTATATCAATTACAGAAACAACTGTGGCAACTGATTTAAAAAAAAAGTAGTGGTAAAAGTGAACTATCTTTTCAGTAAGAATAAAATTTTGATATATAGGGTGACGGTCTACGGAATTGCATGACTGCATTTCACTTTCAACCTGACTTCACATTTCCCCGCAAACCTTTACATCTTCACAAAAGAAAGGAAGCCCGTTCACTGGACCGGGCCCTCACCCGTGCTCTTTGATGACTTTGGCGTAACTCTGAGACGTGTTTGGCACTGAAGACACTTTATACTCTTGCTGGCTGGTGTTGCCCAAGTTGGGAATAGCAAGGGAGATCCTTTGATTGTACCTGAGGGAAGATTCAAGAGCGAGCATGTTCAAGGCCCTGTTCGGGCTGAAGAACGGGCCATGGCAACAGGAATCGGAGCCGCACACTGGGGACTCCCAGGCCTCACCAGCACCGGCTTCCACGACAACCTGAGATGCACGGATTAGGAATGGGTCCTTCCCTTAAAGTGGAAACGGCTGCAAAGTCCTTGAGGGCAGAGGTCACGTCTTAGGTATCTGCATCCCACAGTGACGGACAGGCCCAGAAACACTGCGGAGGAATCGCTGCACCTTCAATGGCCCCCTCACCACGACGCCTCTCCCCGACACTGATTCAGTGTATTCCACCGCAGTGAGTGCAGAGAAGCCCTTCTGCGCTCACAGCAGACCCATGGCCACGGGGCCATCTTTTTTTTTTTTTTTTTTTTAAGACGTTCACAATGCAAAACCCTCATTAGCCAGTAGGTGGATCAATTTTACAATTCTGTCTGAAATCTATGCTTTACCATTAAAATCAGACTTCCAGCCGAAACCGGTTTGGCTCAGTGGATAGAGCGTCGGTCTGCGGACTGAAAGGTCCCGGGTTCGATTCAGGTCAAGGGCATGTACCTGGGTTGCGGGCACATCCCCAGTGGGAGATGTGCAGGAGGCAGCTGATCGATGTTTCTCTCTCATCGATGTTTCTAACTCTCTATCTCTCTCCCTTCCTCTCTGTGAAAAATCAATAAAATATATTTAAAAAAAAAAATCAGACTTCCAGAGCAAAAAAAGCTATATTTCTACATAATGGATTATGGGGAAGCAAATGATGATTTCCAGTGGTTTATTCCTATAAGCACTTATGCATAATTAATACATCTTGCTAATGCTTTTTGATTCAAAAACAATTTTAATTTATATAACTGACAGAAAAATACCCTCTCTAACTACAAAGAAAACTCACTAGAAGAGAATTATAAAAGCCTTTCTTTATAGATACTGTAAAATGCACATTTCAAAGTCACAGATCTCCATGGCCTGTGCCGACATCTGTCCTGGTGACGTGAGGTGGGGATGCGGCCTTACCTGCGGTTCGGTCTGAAGAGGACGTACTCCAGAGCGTGCGTGGAACTGTTGGCCGTGGAGATGAAGCTGAAGAGGAGGAAGACGAGGTCGGGCACCCCGAGGATGCGGGTGAGCTGCTTGTGGAGGACCTGCTCCCTGTACGACATCTGCTGCTGCGTGTTCCGCCGGAATCTGTACCAGCCGATCACTTTCTGCAGGAGAAACAGAAGGAAAGGGTGGAAAGCTGCATGAAATCTTACACATTTAGGTCTGAAGGTATCCACACAGACACCTGCACACAGATGTTCAAAGCAGCTCGACGTGCAATCGCTCAAAGCTGAACGACCCACTGCCCATCAGCAGGTGAGCGAGCGGTGGGGCAGCCACACACCGGACACCTGCTCAGCAACAAGCCGCCGCCTGCGCAGACAACACCGACACGTTCCCCAGGAGTCCCGCTGATGCAAGCAGCCAGACCACAGTGATGATGACAGTGAAAGCTGATGCTACTGGACTCCAGTCCTGTAAAACCCCAGAACATGACAACTAATCTCTAGCGACATGGAGCAGCCCCAGCAGCTCAGGGGCTGCCTAGGGAGGGGAAGACGGGATTGGAAAAGGGCCCGGGAGGTCTGGAGGGACAGACGTGGTTTCATAGGTGTACACACAGATCAAGACCTACCACAGTGTAGTCCATACGTGTGTGCAGTTGATGGTACGCAATTATACCTCAGTGCAATGCCTTTGACAGTTTAGCTTTGTCAGCTCTATCGGCTGCCTAAGGGAAGTAAACTGGCATGTTCTGCGGAAGAATAGTTCTCCCAATGCGCGAGGCAGGACATCCGGCAGACAGGTGACCTACCGGGCCCTGGGAGCCGTTCCAATGCTCCGGGCCCACCCAAACCTGCAGTCAGAACCTCACAGGCCAGTTCCTGAGTTTCTCCTTGTGCTACTCAAGTGTGAAAATCTCTGCTGTCGAGACAATTTAACTCTTCATTAGAAAAATACTCTGCATGTAGCTTCTTTCTTTGAATAAACTGGGTGAAATCCTGTTTAAAACTGTCATATTAAAGTAACAGTAAATCTCGCCGAAACCGGTTTGGCTCAGTGGATAGAGCGTCAGCCTGCGGACTGAAAGGTCCCAGGTTCGATTCCGGTCAAGGGCATGTACCTTGGTTGCGGGCACATCCCCCATGGGAGATGTGCAGGAGGCAGCTGGTCGATGTTTCTCTCTCATCAATGTTTCTAACTCTCTCTCTCTCTCCCTTCCTCTCTGTAAAAAATCAATAAAATATATTTAAAAAAATAAAAAAAAATAAAGTAACAGTAAATCTCGATTTGGTTTTGGTGCTTTCACAGAAGGAAGCGAACCAAGCTTCGCTGAGCCCCTGTGCCAGGCCCTAGCTAACGATGTTACAGATGTTTTAATGAATGATCACAGCCACCCTGGGAGGCGAGTAATGCTGTCTCCACTGAGCTCAGACCACGGCAAGGAGCTCCTGGGAACAGCACCGGCCCTCAGTGGTACGACTGTGCACAAAGCATGGCTTCAGATTATACTAAAGCAATGAATTCTGACATTCTTTAAATAAAAACCCAAACATTTCTGAAGCATAAATCTCATAGAGATGTTTTGTCCAAAGTCACAGAGCTAATGAGTAAAGGCCAAGATCTGCACAACATTAACTTGAAAATCCCCATCAGTCACACAATGGTGATCATAAAAAAATGAAAGCAGCTTTCCTTTAAAAAAAAATAAGTGCTGCCCTAGCCGGCTTGGCTCAGTGGATAGAGCGTCAGCCTGCGGACCGATGGGTCCCAGGTTCGATTCCGGCCAGGGGCATATGCCTGGGTTGCGGGCTCAATCCCCAGTAGGGGGTGTGTGGGAGGCAGCCGATCGGTGATTCTCTTATCATTGATGTTTCTATCTCTCTCTCCTTCTCCCTTCCTCTCTGAAATCAATAAAGAAATATATTTTTAAAAAAAAAGTGGCTAAGAAAAACTATCAACCGGCCAGAGCCCTAAGGAGGAATCAGACCGCAACCTTTTGGTGCAGGGACAACGTTCCAACTAACCGAACCCCACCTTGGCCAGGGCTGGGTCACATTGTTTCAATTTGCATTTCCTGATAGAGGTTAAACACCTTTTCATTTCTTTCTTGGCCATTTGTGGATTTCTTTTTTCTTTTGTGAATTTCCTCTTAATAATCTTTACTCATTTCTTTCACTTTAAATTTGTCATCTGTTAAAAAAAACAAAAACCTTCCTGGAGCTTTTAATACGGAGTGACCTCTAGAAAGCTGTGCTCCAGTAAGAATTTCACGGGACAAATCTTAGGTGTCGACAGGATAAAGACTCATGATCTGCACTATGAAAACCGACGGGACGAGGAGGGAAGGCGTGGCTGAGAGGAAGCCGGACTGGGAATGCGTGCTCTTGGGCAAGTCACTGGGAAGGGAGAGCGGCCCAGGAGGCCCGGGGCGGTCTGACGCCCTCTCCCAGGTGGGCGGCCGACACAGCACCTGCTGAGCCGGTCATCACTCCCAGAGCACCATCCTTTCCTCTGACCTGTCCCGCCCCCCACAGAGGCCCTGAGACCGACTCCTGACGCTCTCTGCAGACACCGAGGGAGCCGGTCCCACGGGAGGGCTCACCCACAGGCAACCCTCCCGAGGCCTTACTGCAACAGGTTTCTAAGCAACGGCAGTCTGCTTCCTGTTTAACACACTGAAAGCTTCTATTGGTACTTTTTCCCGAGCGAGGGTGAAATCTATGTTTCTGGAATTTACATACCAAGGCAAAAATCATAAAACTAATGCATGTGTATTAAATATTTACAATCTTTTTTTTAATCACAAAGTAGACAAATTCACTTCGACTCAACTATTATTAATTTTTGGATTATAGTTCATTTCTTCTTCTTCTGACTTTTACATAAAAGAGTCATACTATAAACACCTAAACGTTTTTCTAGTGATATATTGTAAACATTGTCTCACATCTGTAATTTACCTGTAAAATTTACTCAAGGTAACAGAACTCATCTATACTGACAGCAATGCATTGCTCATTTACATTCCTTTCTGTTTTAAGCGCAGGTGATGAGATAAGGAGTGATTTCCAAATCGGAATGGAAACGAATGTAGCCTACCTTTCTCCGGTCTTTAAGGATCCTGTCCAAACTCTCTTCGTTAACTTTGCTTGCATAGTCATAAAAACTGTTTTTTTCAAAAGAGAAAACAATATTGTATTAAAATCACATGGTATTGTGACATGGATATGCTTAGCTACATGCGTCTGTGGATCATCGAGCCCAATTCTATGCTGGTTATAGAGACAGAATTGCCGTTACTGGGTATAGAAAGAGAAATCAATCTAAATGTTTTCCGGACAGGAGGTACCTCTGGCATCACAGAATACTCAAGACACTGTCACACCCAAAGGGCATCACTTCCCCCGTGGGAGGTGTGACAGCAACTAAGTATAAACACGTGGGCTGCGACAGCTTTTCCCTGTTTCTACGAGTCACTTACTTACGAAAACAAAAGAATGCAGAAGGTCTTTTCTGAGAAAGGAGGAGGGAAGTGAGCACTTGCTGAATGCCTCACCAGAAACCCCACCGCAGGCTTCCTCCTGTTATTTTATTCCATTCTTGCCTCCACGATGGGAGGTGTTAGTTTAGCCCAACAAGTCAACAAGCTTGACTCCCATTCTTGTGGCTACAGATACCGAAGACAAGTGGCTTGCCCCACATCCCGGCGCTAGGAGTGGAAGAGCTGGGATTTGAAGGCAGGTCTGGCTAGCTTCACACTGAATGTACCCACCCCTAAAGCAGACCCATCTGCCCAGGGCCCTGTGCTGAGCAGCCACGCACCATGATTTGTGGCTTTCCTA